AATGAACGCTTGAAAAAATGATTGTGTACTATATTGCTTAATTATATACAGTGGGTTAGTTTTGAGGTTTTCCAGAATTTTGTCCAACGCACTATAAAACAAATCACTGTATGACGTAGATCACTGTATGACGTAATCTGTGATGTCAACCTCAAACAAAAAACCGCGCAAAGGGTTTTGGTTTTAACCCAACAGCTTTCACATGCCACTGCAGCCAGTATACACATGTAAGCTGCCACTTTCCACAAACAACGGGAATACCACTGTAAAAACTCTGGCGAAGTTGACTTTACCGTTTCAATGTCACATGCTCGCCAGGGCAGAGGGTATAGAAATGTGAAAAAGGTTACCAGGTTTAGAAGGCAAATACAAACACTGCCGAACCTCGTTAATAAGAGCACTGTTAAGACAAGATTCTGCTTATAACAAAGAACATTTCAGGTCCCAGTCCTGTGTTTTACATTGTTTTCATTCCTGATATTAAATACAAGGTTCCTGTTATAACAAGATAATTGCCAAGTGCGAAGGACCTCTCATTAACCAGGTTGGACTGTATCATGTTTGAATATATCGTTCACTTTTGGACAGAATTAGAATCCCATGGAATGGGCAGTTAACTCTGTGATGTAAAACTTTAAGTTTGGTCGGGCAGATGTGTGAAACAAAGTTGATCTCATCCTTACACTGACATATTAACTTATCCGCAATGCTACACGCAATGGACGTCTGAATTTTAGGAAATAAAACTGTCACCAGTAACAGCCAAAGCACCTCGGTGTTATATTTCACAAGCATTTCGTACAGAAAATGATAACTTTTCCTCACCTTGATGAGAGATTCTAATTTTTACATTATGTTGTAAGAAACCTTTAATCTTTAAATAGCAAGTTCATCTGCCTTCCGGTATTTCCTGATTCGAAAGAAACAATGTAGCGTTTAACCATCAGCCAACCATTACAAACGGCATGCACATAATCGAGTTAGCGCCGAAAAATATATGTACCCGCCACTTTTAAGCGCTAACTTGATCTTACCACATCTTTCAGGTATGCCATGTTATGGCCCCCACCCTACTCCCGAGAAACGGCATTTGTCGACACAGAGTTCAATATCTCCGTGGTTTAAGCAACATCCGGCCCAAAAAAGAAAGATGATATCCTCGAACTTGCAATGACGAAAAGACCTGCAATATGATACTTCCGCTTTATATCAATCTTTGTGTACCTTTGGCGTTACTGTTTTTACATACGGTTATTTTTAATCATTTAGCTCACTCTGCGCTGTTATATATAAAAGACTAAATTGGTATAGGATGGGTACTTGGAAAATTAATGCATGAAGGAGCCGATCACACCTGTCCGGGGCTTAGCTTCTAACAGCGGGTTTTAAATTACAGAAAACTTGCTCAAATCCTATCAAAAATCGAAGTGGTTTTATCATTCTTTACAACTCCTTGGTGCGTGTTTCATAAAAGACGGTGATGGGAGTTCCACGAGAGTGGGTTGCACTAATCCTAGGCATTTTGTTGGGGAAAATGTTGGTCGCTTCATGTTGGTCGGAACAAGGTAGGCATTAGTTTTACAAAAAGGAATTTCATTAGCAATTAACTTATTTCTTATAACCAGAATAGGACACGGCTGATATTTTCCTTTTTTCAATTGTATACGTTTTAGTATAATTATTGTACACCTAAAGCAATTTATAAAATGGTCCTTTGGCGCAAAAATTGAATTTCTTTTTGTAACTTTCATCTTTCGACTGTGTGAGGACTTGTTTTCATGTTCTTTACAAATGAAAGCTATTTGAAAACCAGGTGCGCGGGCACTGGGATTAGGGTTTTTCGTTGCAAAATAAAATTTTTGATTTGTTTATAGGTCTATTAAATTAATTAATGGGCTAACGATGCACCAGTGCACAAATATAGACCGGCGATGAGGTCATCTGTGAACGTCTGTGTACCCCGAAGGACTATGAGTGACCAGAGGGCTACCTTATTTCCTCAGGTCTAAAGCTTCTTTTCTCGTCAGGGTCCCAAGGGCACTGCAATTTACAAGCAGAATTTTCTCAACTAGATATTCAGTTGAAAGCGAAAGTCTCTCCAGTGGAGAAAATGGAAACTTCCCTTTAACCAGAATCTCTGAGCACTTGGTAATTAGTAGTAGGGCCTACGAAAGCTGAATAGTGGGAAAGTTATTCGTTATTTCGAATAATCCATTCTTATTTTTAATTACTAATTCGTTATTACGGTTGCGGCTAAGTTATCGGATTGTGCGTAATTCTGCTGCAGCCACTGACATTGGACAGTCCCTGGGCACATTGCAGACGTAATTCCTAATGTGTGCGGCCGTAGCCTACTTAGTAATTCGTAATGAATTAGGGGCGTACCGTGGGTTAGCAATCTGAAACAACGAACTAGTTATTCCTAGTAACGAATTACTAATTCATTTAATAACGAATTGTGACTTCATAATAATGAATTAGTTTCCCACCGAAAATTTGGTATCAGTGGCACGATTGGGCTTTTGTAATTTTTTAATTAGTCGTGTTTTACCCCGTCTGACACAATATCTGCATGGAGTGGTATACTACTGTGGTGGTCAGTGATTTCATTTGGAGTTAGGCGCCCACCAGACCGGTTGTGATGTAGACCGAATTAAGATGCAAAATAGAGGAGCAAAATGTAAAATATATAAAACAAAAACGTAAAATATATAAGGCGAAGTGTTATCTACTAACCGGTTCGAAGAAGTCGCGCCTAACCATGATAGGGAGCTTTTTCAATTATTGTTCCGAAGTGACGTGCAGCTTTCTCAATTGTTTCGAAGTATTAAGACCGTTTTGGAGGAATAAGATTCGTCTATGGTATAACATTAGTAGCAACAAATTCATGGAAAGCAGGGTTTTGAAGGAGGTTGCCAACTACTCCTCGTACACGGACGTTCACATTTTCCAACTCTCGAGTGAAGTGTAGTGTTGTCCACTGTATTATCAAGAGTGTCTGGGGAAAAAAGTTCCAGTATAAGATTTATGGACAATACTAATTTTCCCTTAAAATGTTACAACAGCCGTCAGAAAGTGATTTATACATGCCCCAAAAAGTGAAATTTGTTAAGGAAAATTCCGATGCATTTACTTTGAAACCATTTTTTTTCCAGACAAGTCTCATAGGTTTGTTCACAGAGGCATCAAGTGTTGTCTGTATATGGAGCTCTTTCCGTGTCGGGCATGGCGCGCGCGCGCCGGGCAGGACGTCCTCGAACTGGTTGATAGATGGCGCTTCGTCTTATACGTTTTCGTTCAATATTTTACATTTTTGCTCTGTATCGCGACCGGTCTGGCCTCGAGGTAGCGGCGCGTCGTCCTATTTATTAGTTTCATTCTATATTTTTTAGTTTCCGTCCATTTTTTTGTACTTTCGTCCTATATACGCCTTTATTAGTTTTATTACTTTTGTCCTGTACATTATGTTCGTTCTATATTTCGTCAGGCCTAAATCTATGCAATCCTATTCACGCATACTCACCTTTCAGTTAACGTTTTGCGGACGCGCCAGCGGTCACCTGTATCGTTTGTCCGCTTTCAAAAGTTTTGCGAAAGACCCCAAAATGTTGGAAATCTTAGTTTATGCGTAAAAGAAGTAAATGACCATTTTTCGGCGAATTTTCCTAGACACAAATACTGGAGTTTGTGTCTTAGCCCCCCCCCCTTTAGAAGTCTTCGTATCATCTAACACTTCGCCCTCTGTTGTCTAGTGTGTATCCGTGTCACGTGATGTCATTAATATTTTGTTGACTTCATGAAACGTGAAGTTTCAATTTTTTTTTTTTTTGTCAAGTGAGTGAATATGAATAAAAATTAGTGGTGTATCCATTTCTAGTGTTTTTCTTGTTTTTCTTCCCAGAAGAGATCTAGATTACTTGGGTTGACACGGGGTTGCCCATGTTCATGAATAAAGGTACATGACGTGTAATCAGTGGTGGGGTGGGATATACACTAACCAGCTACGTGGAATGGGCGCAAACGTAAACCCAAGGGTGTGGGTGGTGTGTGGGGGGTTTTGGATGGGGATGGGGTGTTCAACTTGTGAAGGTGGTTGCAGGGCGTACAAATAACAAAGAACATGGCAGTAAATGTTGGAATTGAATTAGGTCTACCCGCCACAAGAAGGTGTTTTCGGAGGACACTGAGGCTGTTTGTTTTCTCTTATAAAATTATTTGTTCATTAGTATGATTACAGATTTATTTTTGGAGGGGAATTTAGAGACAAGGGGGATGTGGATGGAATATGGAGTCATGGGGTATACAGAAGAGGGACAAACCACTGGAGGTTATGGAATACCTTATTTAGTGTTGGCTAATGAAGACTGTCAAAACTGACAAGTAAATAAGCAAAGGACACACAAGGGACTTTACTTGTAATTTATTATGCAAGATGTTAAATGGTGACAGACCGACTGGAGTAACCTCATGTTATAAAAAGTAAATATATTACTCTCTATGAAAATTCAATTCCCTTTTCCTGATTTAAGAATGTTATTTAAATGAACTGGAAATGACTACTGAAAGATTTGAAATTTGAAGCTGTTTAAATTGCTTTAAAAATATGTGCCGTTATGATGCCAAACAACAGGACTCGCCCTTTCAATAAATACATCTTGCATAGCACGTCTTGGCCACCGTAGATTTCAAAGGTCGTCAGCTGGCTTCGCTGCGTCGATATTTTGTTTAGGCAGGAATTTTGATTGAACCCACGAAAAGCTACTCCTGGGCACAAAAAGAAATAACTTGTATGTGTAAATTGCTTCGATGATAGACCGTGACAGTGTGAGTGGTAAAATAAAATCACATCTATAAAATTTCAACCGTATTGTAGTTTTCTGGAAATCTTCTTTCAAAGCCTTTGTACGCAGAAGTAGGAGGATCGAGGTTTCATTTTCATTCGTCAGGTTACGGAAGTACAGTACATGTACAAGTAAGTACCGACGGTACGGCCAATATTATTAGCCCAGCTGGTTGGACCATCCCTCCATGGTTGGACTTAGGCTGCATTGCACTGCGACTAGTCCTCTTACAATGCGAATTTTTTTTTTACGGTTTAGTGGCATAGTGACCAATCCCGTCCAAATCAAAAAAGAGGAAAACTAACAAGAAATCTCTATGCGCACGCAGCTTTGAACTAAGCACAACCAGGCTAAGCACTGCCATGAAACAGTGTTTAGCCAAGTTTTGTGCTGGAGTAAACACGGCTTTTCTGCAGAGCAACTCCATGAATTGGGCCCCTTATTTAGGTGGTATGTATGTTGATATTATTCCTAGACATGCCAAAGTAGGGCCAGCTTACCGGACTATAGCCCCATAGTGTGGCCTACGGTATGCTGTGCTCCCCTGCGCTCTCCTATAGAGGAGCGCAGCGTACCGTAGGCCCCATTAATGGGGCTAACCGGATTAGAGCTTTGGCTGCGTTAATAATGTGATATTTGTGTATTACTATTTTGTCTAGCAAACAGAGCAAGGCAGAAGTGTATTTACAATGGGGAAGAAACATTCTACCATCCCGCTACACAAGCGTGCTGCCAAGGACATATCTATCAACGAGCTCATAACTTGGAAGAAATATGCTGTGAGTAAATTTGCTAGTGAGCAGAGAAACATTTGAATTCCAAGCCGTTTCTTGTTTAGGAAAGAAAACTTACAACTTTGTGCCTGAAATTGGCAAATATTTCCTAGCTGCCTCCAGTGCATTGAGACTCGGAATGTGATTTAAAGAGACCACTCGACATTACTCAAAACTGTAAGAATAAAGAGGTTTTATTAAAGATGGATTCTAGCTTGAGTAACATCAGTCTTAACCACTTCGTGCCGGGGCATTTTTCAACGTTGAGGATGCTGGGCCGGCATGACTATCATTTTTTTCA